TCTCTTCCCTCTCGTTCTCTCTTTTCTCTCTCTTCTCTCTTTCGCACGCTCTCTCTCACACACACACACACACACACACACACACACACACACACACACACACACACACTATCTACCTCCTCTCTTTCTCACTCTCTACAGATCTCTTTCCCCCTTCTCTCGCTATCTGTCTGCCCATCTCTCCATCTCTACCTCTCTCTCTCTCTGCGACGCTCTCGCACCGCTGCTATTTATTTATTCTAATTCAATATGTTAAAATAACGCGCGTTAGACATAGGGGGCTGTATAAATAAAGCTTAGCGTCCAAGCCGAACCGACTTTCACTGTGTATGCACACACATCTAGCCGGTTAGTTCACGCTACGTTGCCGCGAGAGAAACACAAAAACACATAGATAGGCGTCATCGTAAATCCCTAGTCTTTCTTGGCAATTATGCCTATCGCAATACTGGTTTTCCGGACCGCAAAGTTAAAAGCCCGAAGCGTTATAAGTAGGAATATATTTAATGTTATTCGAACTCAGACTATATAACGTTTTTTTGAAACAACGTTTCCGTGCGATGCTTCAACGCGAATTCGGATGGGCGTGCGTGAGTTTATCTACGGATTAAACGCTTGCTAGTAATCCATCTTCGTTCTGAATGAAAGCCAGTGAGCGCTTGAATGAAGTTGAAAAATGAGCGCTTGAAATTCGCCTCGGTATGAGATATAGCCTTGACGTTGACTGAGCATCGGTGCGAGATATAGCCTTGACGTTGACTGAGCCTCGGTATGAGATATAGCCTTGACGTTGACTGAGCATCGGTGCGAATTACGATATATATTATGCCTACTCTCTGCAAGAGCCGCACTCGCATCTTGAATGAAGTGCGCGTGTGTGTGGAAGTGAATAGAACTGCATGGCTGGCAGTACGCTTCCACGCGCGCCTCCGTCGTGCAAAGGTAAACACGCTGGCAGGTGCGCGGCGTTATAGCGCAGCTTCGGAAGCTATAGCGAGCCACACACCACACAACGGCCGACGCTAGGCAATTAACATCGATTGCGAACTCAAACTGTGAACGCACGCCACACTTCGCGCGCGCACGAAAAGCCTGATTACTTTTGTGAACACCCCCGTCTCTCACCTCCTCCTACTCCTCCTCCGCCACTGCGGTCTTTGATTTTGATTGAAGTCGATGTAATGGCGGGACGCTGCGAATGACGCTAGCCCGTGTTTGCATATCTGCGCTATGCACGCGTCATTGCTCGGCCAGCATGCTAACCAACGCTCGCTCTGTGCTCACGCCACCTGTCCTTCTGAACTGCCTGTAATGTTTTTTTCGAAAACTCGGTTCTCGCGCGCGTGCACCGCGGCGGAGATAGGCCGCGGACGGGGGAGTAAAGGGTTGCATCACGCCGATCAAGTGTCCTGTTAACATGGGCACCGTTATCTCGGCTTATTGCCCCGACCAGCCGTTAACACGATGCCAGCTCGATACGTATTACGGTATCTCCGGTGGGGAGGCTGGCGTTTGCACCTGCCGCTCACAGCGCACGCCTGCCAACCGCGCGTACGCCGCAGCGATAAACGAACTGATTATGTGATTCCGCCAGGCCGAACACACAGACCGCTAAACGTCAGCACCCCGTGACCGCGCCCCCGTTATCTCTATCTATACGACGGCCTAACGAAATACGATCGTCAAACAAAACTAGTTATCATTTCGAATAGATTTCACACGACTATCGATCGCCTCATTGTCGTGAAACTTGCGTTCCAGGATACGTGCTAGCTATAGATGTGACTACACTATTTTCAGAGATTTTCCACTCGCGTCTTGAGTCTTGTGTTGCCTTGCTTCTCGGCCCGATCCCCGACGACACACACCGCTGCCATATATCATTGTGACAACTGCGCAGCCGCCGCCGGCAAGAATACGGTGCGTATCTACGGTAAGGCACGCACACGTCGGCCATCTTGTTTCTTCTGCAAACGTCGCAACCGCGAGCGGTGTTAAAATTCGATATATCACGCGATAAAAAACAGCGCGTTATTATATACCGCGACCTGTCGCATGTGCGGTCTTATCTTGCTTCGCCACCGAGCGCGTACATCCCCGAAATACACCTGCCCTCTCCGCGGCGATAGCGAGAGTGGATAAACAAACAAAAAAACACGCGCGTACACACGCGGATATATTAGAATTGCAGCGAGCCGCGTGATCGGCGGTGTTCATATGCCTGCCGTGACGCACGCCAATTTCCACTTCCGCGGAACGTCATTATGCCAGGCGGAGACCGCTAACCCCATTATACTAGTCACGTCTAATTGCGGCGCAAATAAATTATACCTGTCGCTTGACACTTTGTTCGTCACTTGCTGCATTGTCAGCGGCGCACAGGTGATACTGGCGCATGGCTGTCGCCTCGCTCGCGTGCCGCGACGCGCGTCACCGGTTGCCTAGTTACGCCGCTGCATCTTCGGCTGCTTCGTGCGCGATCACGGAACCTTTGTGCCGCGGCGCTGTGTGCGCGCGGCATCGCGTCACATGTATACGTCCGGAACATGAGCGTGGGCTGCAGGTGCCCCGTCCGTGGGCGGATGCGAGTAGGTTCACTCGAGAGACGTTACTATGGCGAACGCGAGTGCGGAATAGGTTGTACGACGTCAACATCACAAAAGGTTGGAGTTCATGATAAGCTGAATGGGTAAAGGAGTGCACGACGTCTAAAAAAGTCGTTTTCAGATCGCCGGAGAAGTGCTATAGCGATGAGATGTGGCATTGCTCCATAGCCAACGACGACGTTTTCGTTGTAGGGTGGAATTCGTGAACAGATAAAGCGTGTGTGGAAAGCGAAATCTCTAGCTCTATATTTTTAAGTTTTAAATAATGAAATCTCATTTCTTTATATCATACTGTTGAAACGACAATCCCGCTTCAATCCACATGCTGCATTATTTAGGGTGTACCATGCACGCACAAGCTTGCTACGTACCCTCAGCCTACTATATGGTTTGTTTTCACATTGCTGGCAAACCTAAGGTTATAAACCGCAATAATAGACATGTAACGTATTAGCGCCCTCTGCATGCCCATACTTTTGCTGTAAGTTTTGTTTCAGCATCCCTAACGATTTATTAAATCTGTATATCCGATTAAACAATCGGGCAATACGCGCAGTACGTCCTATATTTATTCCAAAGTACCTATTACAGGGTAACGATATATTACGCTTTTAGATCGCTAACGAACTACTGCAACAACAAACCAGCGTTTACACATGCTCACTTTAGGCGTCAACATGCTCTCTACGTGGCTACAGTAACGACATGTTCTGTTTTTCGGATCGTTAACGAATTATAAAAACAACAACCCAGCACCCACTCCACGGTCGGGCGTGCCCCGCCGGCGCCGGCTGCTCTACTGCTGCGCTGTCTTGGTACGCGTGTTTCCCCCGTGTGGTCAACGGCAGTGACTACGACAGGCACGCTTCTAACATACCTAATGTGGGCGTAAAGGGGGATCATAATAGCGCATTGATATGATATTGATAGGGTGAATCGTATTATATATGTTATCCCTTTGTATATTGTTATCCCTATATATTGTTATCCCTATTATATTATGTTATCCCTATATATGTTACGAAGTGTTTATTTTTTCAAGTATACATTCATCATATGGGATTGCGGGTGTACTCGTACGCGTAACTGTGTGTGTGTGTGTGTGTGTGTGTGTGTGTGTGTGTGTGTCGCTGACCGTTCCTTGACTCACGGACTTGCATCAGGCCTTATCCTGTGCACACCACATGTAGCATCCAGGCATGATTAAATAGTTACGTGCAGAGGCCAAAAGTTCGAGCGACATCGGGCTGCTGCTAGAAAGATCGCCGACGATTCCGCCGATGTTGTCCCGCCGAAATATTTATGTCACGCATATATTATAGCAAAGTGGATTCTTAATTAGGCGATTGCTTTATTCGTTTACGATTTAATTGAATTCGTTCGACCTTCTATGCCAACGCACGCGCGTCGTAGGACCTTCTCGCGTCGGTGAAGGAGAATACGATCTTTTTACGCGTAATTATGTAGCACTGTCCGTACGCCATACGCGTGCGTGCGTGCGTGCCATACTCGTGCGTGCGTGCGTGCGTACCATAAACGTTAAACGCTGCATCGCGTCGGTACGTCTACATACACGACGACGGGGTTTTTACTCCGATAACATCGTTGTTTAGGCTGCCTTGTGGCTGCGCCCTGCCTTCCGACAACAAGTTAGAAAAAATTTAGATGTTTAGTGGCCTTCTGTGATAGATCCCATTATGTGTTGTGGTGCACTATCGCTGGCAGGGGAAGGAAGCGCGCGCGGGGAGGGAGGGGGGTGCTTTGTGATGGTGTAGACTGTAGAGGGTGCGATAAACACTTCGTCTCTGAAACCAACGTCTTACTCAT